ATACAGTATTTAGGTTGCAACTTAAATATTTAGGTATCCACCGAAATATATTTATGTTTGTGGTTGTAATGTGACAAAATATGGAAAAGTTCAAGGGGTATGAATACTTTTGCAAACCACTGTATGTTCATGTGAAAATATGCAGCCCTTCCTGTAGGTTGTGTGTCCGCCGCGCCCTTGTAGGTGTCAGTGTTTGCTCTCTAACTAGATGTTTGTTTGTTTGTTTTTTACTTATTGTTTTGTGACAAAGTTCCTTAACCGGACTTCCTGTTTTCGCAGTTGCCCGGACATTGCCCCGCTTTACTCCAGAGGGTGTGACTGCCCTCGCCCAGTGGGGTTTGGTGGGCCTCATCGGGTACTGGGTGCTGACCATCATTCTCCGCCTGCTGATCGGCGTCTTTAGGCAGGTGTTCTGGGTGGTGAAAATGGTCTTGGCGCTCTGGCTTTTTGGACTGATTGTGACCGACAAGCACGCCTCCGCGGAGACGACGGCCATCCGAGTGGGGGTCCTGGTCCTGGCGTTCGTCCTGCTGACTCTGCTCACCTCCGGCTTCGATAAGTCTTCTGCCGTGGAGCACCGGCTGAACAGGCTGGAGAGGCGTGTGAGAGAGGTGGAGCGGACAAAAGCTGATTAGAGATAGGGACGAGGCTGATGTCAGTACAGACACACACACACACACACACACACACACACAAAAACGTGGTGACTAATGATTTATCTGTTACAAACTTGAGAAATAAAGTAATCTTTGACATTTTTAAATCAGAAACGTTCTTTCTTCCCCCTTACAAAGAAAATGACGCACGTCAAATAAAGAGAATGTAAAACTACATGTTAGAGGAGAAAACAAAGATAATAAAAATAGTAAAACACTTTAAAACTGTTTGTCCTGCTCACAAGTAGATTTAACCACAGGATGGATCAGTTGAACTGCATGACAATCTGTTAGAAGTTATATTTTAGGTTAAACCGTCTACCTGCAGGGGGCGCAACAAAAGATTTCAGACGCTGTGTTAACCAAGACAAAAGTTTTTGACAGTTTCCGAGAGCAATACATTAGTCATTAAAAAATATTAAAATGTGCTTAAGAAGGTGTAAATGGTATTTACGTGTGTTTAATGTTCTTCAAATATAATGCGGTCCTCATTTTTTGAGCTTCAAAAGCATCTAAAATCAAATCCTCGTGTACAATGCTACCTCTAATTTCATACAGACTTCAGGATTTTTCAGCCCTTGCTTTGTACCCTCTGCTGGGGAAATTATTTTGGGGACACACACAAGTGGGTGTGTTTGTGGCTGCAGAGCAAAGGCTGCCGAGGAGCATCGCAAGCTTGGCGTCACTGATAATGGTCCGGTCCCGCAGCAGGAGCCGGCTGTTAAATTAGCAAAATGTGCAGCTTGTCTGGTCCCTTTAAATATGTAAACGTGCAACTGACTGTTAACAAAAAAAATTTGTCCATCTACAACATGGAAAAATAGCTGCTGTTGTTTTTATATGGTTAGCTGTGTGACCTATTCTGCCATGGGAGGACCAGATGACTTATCCCCATCACACAATATTACAGTTATTTACAAGAAAATATTTAAATTTATTATGACAGTACATTAGAAAAGAATCTGTCAAAATGTACTTGCATATAAAAGACAACTCAACAAATTTATGGATGATTTTTGAGGTTAAATTTATTTTTGCATTATACACAAATAAATACGGTAGTTAAGTAGTTCAGTCCTGTATTCAGCGTATTGACAGATCTATAGACACAGGAACATAATGTGGAAATTGACGCTGATTTTGCACGAGCGCCCCCTGTAGGCTGTCTGCAGTACAAGTTTATGTTGCTGTAAACAAATAAGAAATTTTCTTGGTTTTAAAAAACACCTTGTATCTTTTTTGTTTTGTTTGTTGTTTCCAGGTGTTGATGTAGTTCTTACTTGACTGCTGTATTTAAAAAAAATGATGCAAAAATAAAGTCTGATTGCATGGAGGAGGAGGGTGGGCATTCAGCCCCACTTTCCCCAAGTCTGGCTCCAAAAGTACAACATGGCAGCGTCTGAAACCAGGTTAATGAAGGCAGAGACACTAAACTGTTTAATATAGACGGTTCAGCTCTTCAGCAGCCTGTAGAGTCCAGGAGGGACCATGTTAAATACTGCATCCACAAGCAACTGTGGAAAACTGTCATCTAATTGTTGAGATCCATTAGCAAATAGCTATTCCTCAAATGTGAGCAGAAATTAATAAATTAGTAGAATTAATTTGTGACTCTGTTAACAATAATAATGTCGATTTAATGTAGATTTGTTATCCTGTCCTGTGTAAGAATTCAAGTGTGCTGCTGGCCTGAGGACTCAAACCTTTCTGTGAGGGGGAAGAGCTCTCAAATTAGGACTTACTTAAAAATAGCCCACAATAAAAGTCGGCCTTGCTTTATAGGCGCTTTCAGTCCTTCAGCTCATTCATCTGGAAGCTGATGTGATCTTCCAACTGCGCAGCGACGATTTTCACCCTCCACTGCCGCTCCGTCTGAGAAGATCATCCAACGTGACGCGGGGCAACGAAAGAAGAAGAAAAGTCAACTATTGGCTCTCTAAGGAGGTTCATGTGAGGAAAGTACGTGTAAAGTTCAAGTTCCAGCAAAAAGCCAGAACCACAAAACAATTCTGCAGCTTATTTTAGCTCCACTGATCGTTTGTTTGGTTCTTATACTGCTTCATCTCACTCAACAGCTTACCAACTAAAGGGAGCTAAGAAAAGAGATCTTAGTCAAACCAACAAGAAGTGGCAACCTGGGTATTAACAATCAATAGCAGCTTTGTTTCCCTCACAAAGCTTAAAGGATGTTGAGACTTTACTAGGTGCCAGAAATTCTAACAGAACAATGCAGAACTGATCCAAAGTCTGCGCAATTTCTGCTTTTATAACAAGTTCACTCTACAAACCTGTTTCCAAATGGCAGTTACAGCAGGCAAAATAAGTATTGAACACGTCACCATTTTTCTCAGTAAATATATTACTAGAGGTGCTAATGAC